TTTTTCCCCGAAAAATTTCTGGTTTTTTTACAAAATTTTGCTGTCGAGCGGGAGGGGGGTCGCAGTACCTACGTACGTCCCAAGCACGTCCAGCACTCTGGCGCTGGTGTAGCATACTGACAATACGTACGAGGAAGGGGCGATGATAGGATCTACGATCACCGCCCACAAGGACACCATGAATTTATAAACAATGGAAAGGACTCACGACATGACGATTAATAAACAAATGAAAGTACATTCCCGGACTTTTCTTATTGCAGGAGCATATTTGCTTGCAATTGGGAAGCCCTATCTAGAAGTTACACCTTTCAAACACCTGCGTGAAAGCCCCATGCATGGCGCATTGCATATGTGATGCCAATTGGCGCCCAATGGCCTATTACCTGATATGCTTGACGAAAACATGTGTTTCAGAAGCATACCAAAGTCTTCGAGCCAACTGGAGGTTTCCTGGCCTCGGAGGGGTTGATTTTTCGGTGTCGTGGGGGTGATTACAAAATGATACAACGGAATTTTTCGAAGTAGCTAGCTCTTAGGAGGAAAAAATTAAAGCCTTGCTGGAAAGTAGAAATCTTCAAGCTTCCGGCACAGTTCTTTTTTTTTACGAAAGGTCGTGTATGAAGCTTGCCATGGACGTCCAAAGCGTAGCGACTCGCGGTTCGCAAAAATGATCACAGATGGATCACAAAGATGATCACAACGGGGAAAATCTCTGGAACCGGAACGTTTTTGAAATCGCTCAATTCAGGTGATAAGAGCCAACCTAGCTCTACTCATTCCCACTTACCCCTCTCCGATAGCTTCACTTTCAACGAAGTTATGGGTGTTCAAATGAGGGGTACTTTTCACGTGTTTGGCTTGAAATTGGCTCCAGGCCGTAAAATAGCGCGCACCAATGAGCTTGTATGAGCGCGCTGACCGCGAACAGCCAAAATTCAAAAGTAATCCATAGTTCCGGTTCCCAGCTGGCCTGGTGAGTTTTTTTCTTATCCATTAGATTTAGAGTTATTTTGACTGTTTTCTGTTAAAGTTGTTTTGTTTTGTGAGTTTGATTGTTGTTCTGTGAGGAAATTGTTAGAATTGCAGCCTTCTGTGGTTCATAGTAGCTTTTGGAGGATGGATCTTTTCTAGATTTTGCAGATTTAGGCGATAGGGATGTATCTAGGGAGCCATTAGGAGAGTTGGGGTGGGGCCGAAGGGTGCTAGGAAGGAGTTTTTCTGTGCTAGGAAGGAGTAAATAGTTTCGAGCAATATGGTGTGTAGCTTCGGTTGCCTACAATAGTTCGGATTGCCTAGTTCTATTTTGATTGGCATGCGTGAGAATCGTCCCTTTTGAGCTTCTTTTCACTTGTACCGTGTATCACCGCTCTCTCCACTTCAACATGGGCCGTGCGTTTACGACCCCCCCCCTCCATCGCGGGCAAATACGACCCCCCCGTTGGATGATCCACAAGGATGCGTCCCTGCGGGGGTGAGTGGGTCTACTGTTGCAGAAGCGTGCCCCTTTCACCGCTCAAAAATGCACGGGAACAGGGCTGAAGGGTATTGATAGTCTGTTACTCATATGAAGGACCAGGGTCCAGGAAATGAGTGCACAGATTGTCTTTTATAATATTCTGCTTTGAAGACAAACGCCTTGCTCAACCAGTTCGTTGAATTGGTTCCTTGCCTAGGTGGTCTGGTGCGTAATCGCAAGTACTGCCCGAGTTGCGGCTCCAGCGCTGAGGCCGTCATAAGCTGCAGTTATAAGCGGCATACGGTAGTCATAATCTGCATACCGTGCTATAGAAAGCTGCGTTTCCAGTCGCTCTAGAATTTTGATTCGGTTCACGTTGTCTTCAATACTATCAGGGAAGAGACCAAGGGTTGTGTAATCCTTAGCGGGTTTTTTTTTTCACTCTCTCTAGATTACGTGCATTCAAGACATTTTAGTTGACAGTTTTCACGATAAGTATCTGGGTCCTTGGGAAAGAAGAAAAAAAAAGTCGATAAGCGTCTATTTCATTAGATCTTCATCGAAAGTGGTTCAGTATTTCGAGTTCACGCTGGTCGGTTCAGATGGTATTGCTGCGAGGCGCACTGTGTGCAGATCAAATCCCGAGTAGAGGACTCAGGCTCACCAGCTAACTTAAAAATATTATTCGACTAATTGGCGCCATATCCGTCTAGGAACATGGAAACCCGATTGTGCTCATCGACTGAGACTTGCATAACTTTGTTGGCCAATTAAGTGTTCAACTGCTACTTTTACTCAGGCTGGACAACGAATGGTGCGTATTCCGGGGCACGGACACTGTAATGCTGCCATTCGGGTTTTGCAGGAACAGAGTGTTATTGTACAGCATGGGTTGTCTAGAGCGCAGAGTAGCAACCACTTGTCAGCCCGGTTAGCTCAGTCGGTAGAGCACCAGACTCTTAATCTGGCTGTCGCGGGTTCGAGCCCCGCATCGGGCTTATTTTTGCAGGCAGTGCAACAAAACATGTACGTAAAGAGGTGTTGCAGAGAGTACTTTTAATATAATCAACCCAATTTTTTGGTCAGTAGTCCCGCTACCACCTTAACCTCTGCCCTGTTTATCTCGTGGTGCCGCGACAAAAGTAGTGCGCTCACCGTAAGTGCGGATTTGGCTACCAAATGCACGAAGACATTTCGCAGATCACTTCATCTCGAAAATTGACTTTAAATTACTGGTAAAAGAGTGGATCTTATAAACTGCGGTTGTTCAACTGTGTTACCTTGAGAATCGCCTGAAAGCCCATTAATGTGCGCTCTTCATCATTGAACAGGTGATGGTTCGTTCATTGTCAAACCGACTCAAGGACAAAACCAGATCACCATCTCAAGTGACGTGCCCATTGGCGTAAAATACGTAAAAAGTTTAAGAAGCGTAAGTGAACCGGTTAAGAAAGCAATTCCCACCTAAAACAGGCCAACACCTACGAGAACTACCTTCAGGGTTACCCAAGAAACAAATAAATAAACCCCCTGGAACTCCCACCACTAAGTCATTAGTGCTAAGTATTCTTAGTGGCTACAAAATTTGGTAAATCAATGTCAAGCAGCAACTTTAATACAGTAATGTTCCCTTGGATTGGCTCATCACGGCAAAAAACACATCGAGGTAGTGTGCTGCAATAGCTGAAGTGGGTGGACCTAGATGTCAATCTGTGTACAAGATAACTAAATACATAGCTCAGCGAGACATATACTCGATTAGAGTATTTTATTAGCTCGAAAAACATACGACACTCTAAAGCAACTCACAGTTTTGACTAGAGTGAGCGTGGTCTACTGCTGTTATTAAATGATAAACTCACTAAGAAGCATATACGATACACACACGACCACAAATTAGAAGACATATCACAGAGAAGCCTGCTCAGAAATCGGGAGAACCTTCCTCCTCCCGGAGTAATATAATAAAAACCTTACCTCTCCGAGTAAGAAGCATGACTATAGTGAGTGTGTCAGGGCGATCAGAGAGAAAGGACTTACGAGATGTCCACGCTCAGCAGATCGGAGCGATGCGCGCCAGATAGTGAAAGGTGCTCGCATTGTGCTTCTGCTTCGAACCCTTGAGATTAGATAAGTTTATCTTTACGAAACGGACTTACAAAGCAAAGGCAATCGTACAAGGCACATCAGCGAAATAGACTACAAAAAGATACAAGGTACAGGTAAGGCAAAGTAACAGGTGAGTAGATACAGAGCACGTACATGAGCAATAGATCTGGGTATGGCAGGGCTTCGCCCTGGGATGGCACATGGTAGGACCGGCAGCTGCACTCGATCCTTGACGCTAGGCGACTCCTCGATCCGTCCGGCTGCTGCTTCGCCACGCCCTGAAACAATCCGATGAGTCATTCTGAAGGCATGCGCACGCCGTACTTCCAACGGCGCGGCTTACAGTACCCATCTGAAACTGAGGTCTCCAAAAAATACAAAGACGTAGGGCTAACATATTTTCGCAGTAAAAGTTAAATATTCAATCAAGTATTCCTGTGTCAACACATCAAAATACTCACAGGGAAGTGTTTGAGTAACTTTTAATGCACCAGTATATCAATATCTAACACATAATTAGTCACAAAGATGTAGACTACAATGACAAGTGATCCGGAAGGCCTCGATACTTTTACTTATATACAGAAATGTGAAGTCTGCATTTCAGCGTCTTCAGGACGATGGTAAAGGACCAAGTGTGACATCCATATGGGGAACAAGCCCGGACACCAGGGTAGCTCTTCTTGCAGGATTCCCGACATCACCCTGAAAGAGGCAGAAAGGAGAAGGATACATCTGCTATTCTTTCGCAAAGATTCTTCATTCAGCCAGCTGTTATGCTAAAATTTCAGACGTAGTTGTTTTGCCTTCATACGCGAACAAAACGACACTAATTTGGGCTAACAGCTCCTAAACAACCACACCTCAAACAAAAACGTGGAGCAAGCCAAGGAATCGCACCATTTATCATGTCATCACCACTTATTTGCTGATCACCTGCTCTAATATCGCCATGATTGTTTGTCTCCGAAGCGTAACTATACAAACCAGGTAAACCCAACTCCAGAGCGGTATGGAAGTCCCCTAGCGAGGTAAGTGCAGAAGTGGATCCGACAGCCAGGAGTCAGTATCCGCGATGATGCGATCCAGTAAAAGTCGGCGCCTCTTGAAGCGCTAGTAACGGAGAGTCGTTCACTGACAAAAATAGCTATTTCTTGTACTCCAGGAAAGGGATAGAATACCAACATTCTTGGATGCTTTGTGAGATCGACTTCGCAAAGGATGAAGGCTGCTATCTGGGAAAAAAATACTTGAAGTTGAGAGCATTCTTGGAGGTCTCAAGGGGTCAATTGAACGAAGGATATAGATTGCTGTCAAGGAGTGGTCACCCAACCCAATACTAAACGATGCAGCTTCGGTTTTTGAATCATCCATCTTGCGTGCTTGTTAATACGATACATAGCAAATAAGATCGGGATATAATTACGACCAATCATACTTGTTCAAATAACGCTTTCAGGTAGACTCGTGCACAACTGAGAGTGAGAAGATCCTTCCATCTGGACTCCGCTCTGCTGTCCACATCAATGGAACCACAACCTCTTTGGAACTTGTTCAGCTCATCGCTAAAAAACAGGATAACAAATACTACTCCTTCCTTCGAGCAGTCAATAGGCAAAGACTTGGTCTTGAGCGGGAATAATTTTAAGACACTAACCACAGCATTTGTTGATGGTCAATCTTTTCTAAATCTTCGTCAATCTTTCTCAACGCTTCACTATCCTCAGCCGAAAGGGCGGATCCTTCCTCAGTAGGACTCTAGAACAATGGATATAGGAAACGGATGGGAACAGATATCGTTTCAGTCATCACCTTCCTGAGTGGTTCTGCAAGAGCAACATAGCGTTCCCTACGAGTGAGTAAGCGATGTTTCCTTCGTCCGAGCTGCCACCTCTGCCCTTTGAGCGACTGGCTCATCTGCTCTGCCTCATAAGAGCTTCCAATAAGCGACAATTCGGCCTCGATAAATTGCTGAATAACGTCGGAATTTCCGAAATTCCACAGTAGACTGATGGTTTTTAGCACCTCACTATGGTTTAGTACAAGAATACTACCTTAGCCTGGTCGAATGTCTTCTCGATGCCTTTTTGACGAGAAAACGCCGCAGTTCGTTCCATTTGAGCCAGCAGGCGCTTGTAAACCTTCTTTGCCTCCTGCAGCTGCTTGTATTCGTCCATCGCATCGTCCTCGAAGTCTCCAGAAGCTCCTTTAGACAACGAAGGATCTGGTTCCTAATTGAAAAGAACGTCGAAGAATAAAGCCGATGTGAAAGCAAAAATAGAAAGCAAACAACGGCATACCTCCTCTTCAATCACATCCTGAGTTACTATGTCGTTAATTCGTCGAACAATTTCAGTGCTTTCCGAGTTTTCCCCATCCCTAGCAAGCAAAGAATTACATAAGAGAAAAAAAACAATTGTGCAATAGAATGATTCGAAGCAATGTTGAGGTCATCTTAGGAGTAATTTGCTGGGAGCATACTCAAGCAAGGTCGAGAGTCACAAAGGATTCGGGTCGTACCGAAGCTGGAAGCGATGGTGAATACTCCGAGCCCACCCAAGAAGGGTCGGAAACAAGAGAAAAAAGGGTGGAGACATAGGAAGCAGCTTATATTCATGCAGGTGCACTTATTGCAAGTAGTTTATATGTAAGAAGCATACCTTATGAAAAATACGAAGGAAAATTTAATCCAGAGCACTGAATTTCAGCAAAACTCTGCTCCTGGTTAACAGGGGTTACGAAAAATGCAAACATTTTGGCTAAGACAACAGCCGCTTTCATATGCCAAAGATCTGCGAGAACATGGCTTTCATTTGAGCAAAGAGTACAGTGCATTATTCGCAGGTCTATATGAGACAGCCGCTGTCCTCTTCCGTTCTGGAGAAATAAAAAGGAAAAGACATCGCTTTCCAATGAGCCTAACACACGCTGAGGAGCCAGCAAAATCAGTGTAGCTAAGGACAGCGCGACACAGGACAGCGTCTACGTCCCTTTCCTTTCCAAGCACCCAAACTGAACATATTAAAGACGGCCTGGACCGTCCTCCCGCGACCAGCTTTCGCAGAATATGTATAGGAGCGTTGCTGCGCGACCCCCTCGACTAGGTTTGCACCGATGGTAAAATGGAAAGGAATAAAAGATTATCCAAAGTCATCGCCGCTAATCAATCTGTTCTTGGGATACGGCACACATTTTGCTCACATTCAGGATTATTGTTAGTTACTCTTGTATGAGATGTGTGCCATACAATGACTTGGGGGGCCAGCCATTTACAACTCGGTGCTCTTGTCCTTCTCGACGATTCTAGTACGGTTTACCGTCCCCTGAGAAAAGAAGGCTTGCTTGGCCCAGGCGGGAGCCAATCCTGGAATTGGTCCCTGGATCGCGTGAATGGTAAGTATACCATTTGTTTGGACTGCATCACGGTCCAATGCGGTTTTGGTGGTTCATTGGTAGAAATGTGGCAACAGTTCTAACTTCTAATCTTTATCTACATGAATAATAATGCGACACAGATACCATAATATAACTACAAGGGATCTAACATAGGGTTACCGAGCCTTGCTGTATGTGAGCCGTCCCGCGGCGTAGTGTGTTCTCGTCTCCATCGTAGTATTGGGCGTCTGATATCCGCCGGGGGTCCGCCGGCTCGTAGTGTCCTCGACATGCGAGGTTAGCTGCAAGTAGTGTAAGGTCAGAGAGGTAAGGGGCGGTACGGCCAAACCGGTTCTGGGCGGTACAAGTCCCGTCCCCAGGGCAGGCCTGCATGAGCCGATCGATAGCAGAGACGATCGATAGCAGAGACGCAGGCACCAACGGTGCTAGGGGTGCCTCCTCGATATCATGACCGAGGGTCATGACACCATTTGCCACTGCACCACCTACGTCTCGGAAAGAGTTACCTTTGAAAAACTGCTCGAGAAGAAAGGAAGTAGTCACATCATATACAGTATCTTGCGGAGTTGAAGGATCCAAAACACCATCGAACGTGAAAGCCCGGCCATTGCATGAGATCTGAAAGTAGAGATTAGTCGGAAACTCACAGTAACTATGGTGTACATTGAAAGAAACACACCTGATTTGATTCAACGAAAATCTGCAAACACTCTCGAGCGTTCTCGAAGTTTTTCCTTGTCACTGAAAGGTCTTGCGCGAACAAAGACCTTCACCGGAATATCGTCACCCATAATGCGTAAAATGTTAGACCAGTCGAGTGAGTTGCAAAAATGTACAGCACTATCCCCTTAATGAGAAGGAAAGTACCTGATCATCAGTTATGAAACAGTAGCTGATAAGTAATTCCCCAAAGAAGAAAAAAAGCAAGAAGAGCCCTCAAGAACACCATAAACAAAATCGCTCCCTGACAGTCACACCTCCCTGCGGTCTCTGTGCAACCCTAGCTCACAAATCGCTTCTCTGCATCTCCCAGTAGTGGATATCATCCAATGCGAAGGGAATAATACGAAAAAGAACAAAAACACGAATGAAAAACTCTTGAAAGGAAAAGAAACTTTAAAAACTCGGCGTCCGAATTAAGGGTTACGGTAGCGTGCATCTTTTAGTGTAGTGTGCGTCGAGCTTTTGCACCACGAAAATTGGGTCGCTCGTGATTTTTACGCGTTTTACCTTGCAAGATGGGTTGGAGTTGACTGTATGTGCTCCCAATAAATAAAATGTAATTGAAGGGAGCAGAATTATTCATGGGCGTGGTCAGCAAAAAAGACATGCAATTCTGATTAACAACAGAGCAGTCCTCCGCCAGAGGCATCCGGCAGCAAGTGGGCGGTCCAACTGGGACGTGGCGTTAGAACTAGAATCTTCAGCGGCTGTAGCTCGCTCCTCGCTCACTGTGGAGTCTCGAGAGTGGGATAAACTCTATCTTGGGGGCTGGACTACTTGCACAAGGAAGGACGACCATGTACTACACAGGCGCGGGGCTGTCTTTGAAGACTAGAACTTGTAGTGAATAGCTTCTCCTCGGCCCTTTCAGAAATCCGTCCATTTTGCTACCAGATTATTCATGTTCTTGAGCACCAAGAAATAACAGTGCTCACAGCAGGCCGACGCATTCCAAAAAAAGTAGTCGACACAAAAATAAAATAAATGATACATAAGCTTTGGTTTCTGGCGGATGAATATAGTTACGTTATATTGAATCAGAGCTTTTTTAGCGCTCTAGACTGTTAGTGGTTCACGAAGCAAATCGCAAGGTGCATGTGAATGAGCACTGCAGCTAACTCAGTTGCTGAAAGTACAATACCGCTCCTAATTTCTGGTCAATCGACGGTTTGCGACAGATTTTTCCGTCGCAAACCGTCGTTTTGCCATAACTTCTGTAGAAGTGGTCCAAATGATCTGAAATTACAGACCATCGCGTAGGCTCTGTACAAGGCGATCCCAACAATATATGGAGCTTCCACTTTCCTTCAATTTTTTGACGTTTTTCCCAAGGAAATTGACGTTTGAGTCTCCAGTGACCCAAGGTGTTACCTGCAGACACGGCTGCGTCGTAAACCCTCCAGTCCAATTATGAACTTCAAACCAAGTGCCACAAAGCCATAAATACCAGCACAAACTATTCCACCACTGATTAATATTTGTTTTCTTAGTAACTCTCCATGATCCAACAGATCATGAAGAGTTGCTAAGAATCGTTCAACTGAATTCTTGTCCTTGAAGACAATTGCATGGTTTCACGATGTGCAGGAATATTAACTGCTCAACAGCTTTGGATTTCCGGGAATCGCATTAGTTCTGGGTTCACAAGTTATTCTGGGTACCTACTATTTTCATACCGTACACAAATACAATATAATAGTTGCTTTCTCCATCGTTTGCACGAAGGCCTCCATCCGATCGCAGCTGCCGACCTCGGCGGTACCTGCGCTTATTACCTTAGGACCTTTTTCGCACATCGTCAACTGATTACGAGCCGAATGTGCTTGAGATTTTACAACTTGTTTGAATGGAGTGGGTCCCAATGCGAGGCTCGAATAAACTATTCTACAAAATGTTCGCTATGATTCTATTCAAAGTTCAGGGTGACAGTTGAGGATTTTTGAGCTCTTCGAGGCAGAGCCTTATAACGGAATCAATTGCTTAAAGCAGTGGAGCCTAGAAAAATCTGCCGTATCGTTAGTTCTATTCCCAAGGTTTTTCAAGAAAACGAAAATTGATTAATGATGGAGGAGTTTGTAATTCGAAGTACGAAATTTTTGAAATTTCGATGAAAATTCAAAGTTGAACTAAGAGAAACATTTTCTAGAACGGCAATCCTCATGAACCACGTGCGAAATAGTGAACAGAAGAGACCACGTTTTTAGAAGAAATTACTGAGACTGATCAATACAGAGACTGATCAGTGCCCTGACACTTCGGTGGGATAACTACTTAGGAGGTCGATTGACCGCTGACAAGGCAGATAGCCGGGGAAAACTGCGAAAGGTTGTAGGAAATTGCACGAGGTGATTTTTACATGAATAGATAGAATTTTTCATGAGGGATTCGAATGGTGTGACTTTGACTGGGATTTTCTTCCTTTGGAAAAAGCGTAAATTTTGCTTTGAAATGAAGTCGCGAAGTTGGCACCCGATAACAACAACCAGTCTAAAATACGCCACTGTTTTCCACCAAGTTGTTGAAAAGCACAGAACGTTCTGTAGGCGGCTTTTTTATGGAACATCTGGGGCCACTCAAAGTGCCTGAAATCCTGTTTGAAAACGCTGAAAATCGAGCATTCGTTCTAGTATCGCACGAAGTGCCCATTTCAAGTAGTTGAAAAAACCCTTCTTTTGACTTCATTCTTGGAATTCGCGAACATTAGGGAAAACAGGGCTCCATACATTAGGCACGTTGTGCTAGTGTGGTCCGAACTGAACCACAGCTCGAGATTTTCCGGACTGAAAAGGCTATATCGTCCGAAGTGACATCGAGCGAAACCCCTCAATTTTCAGGGAAAATTGGCACCAAAATGATCAGCAGCATTTGGGAAACACAACTATCCTGGGGGAAGA